CACTCTACCTGGGGGGGATAACTTGAGGCTCTGTCTCAGAAAAAATGTGATGGCATGAAATTCAAGGACAAAAAGAAAATGTAAACATTTTCTGGGATTTTACAATAATAAATTTTACCAGGAAAGCCTAAATCAATCATCATTTCTTCTAAAACAAATGTAAACCTTGAGTTAGGTCTAAGCAGAAAAGATCCTCTAAGCTATATTTAGATCTATATACTCAAATGTGGTAGCTCCAGCTACAGTGGCATTTTATAATTAAGTAAAGTTAAATGAAATTGAAAATTTAGCTCCTCAGTTGCACAAGTCACGCAAGTACTCAAAGCCACATCCAATTAGTAGCTGCTGTGTTGGGGAATGCACATTGATAGCAAAAAACTTGGATAGTGCTACTCTAGGTAATTAAGTGGTGGGGTGGGCATTCTTTTTTGTTTTTGTTTTTGAGACTGAGTCTTGTTCTGTCGCTCAGGCTAGAGCACAACAGCTCATCATAGCTCCCTGTCACTTCAAGCTCCTGGGCTCAAGCAATCCTCCTACCTCAGTCTCCTGTGTAACTGAGACCATAGGCATGCTGCCCTTCTGATTTTTTATTTTTAGCAGAGACGGGGTCTTGCTCTTGCTCAGGCTAGCAATCCTCTTACCTCAGCCTCCTAAACTGCTAAGATTATAGATGTCAGCCAGCCCACCAGCTGATTTTGATTTGTTTACTTGAGGCAGAGCCTCACTCTATCCCCCTAGGTAGAGTGCCATGGCATCACAGCTCACAACCACCTCAAACTCCTGGGTTAAAGCGATCCTCTTGCCTTGGCCTACAGAGTAGATGAGACTACAGATGTGCACCACCACACCCAGCCACCAGTTGTGTTTCTTAATGGTAAGATTACTGTAAGAATCCATTATTTAAATGCTAATTTTGCACATACAGTTTTGAAAGGCCAGGCGGGATGGCTCACACCTTTAATCCTAGCACTTTGCACTTTGGGAGGCCAAGAAGGAAGGATCATTTGAAGCCAAGAGTTCAAGACCAGTGAGACTCCATCTCTACAAAGAATTTAAAAATTAGCTGGGCATAGAGGTGGTACAATTCAAGTGGTACAAGGATATGAAGGCAAAAGCCTTCCTCTTCCTCTTGTTCCCTACCTACCCAGTGCAGCCCAGAGAGAACAAAGGTGTCAGCCTCCTGTATATCTCTTTAATGATATCTACACATACGTAAAACACACAGACACATGGATCTTTTTCTCTCTCTTCAGCTCAAATCACAGTAAAAACACATTGTTCTGCACCTTGCTTATTTTATCTACTTAAAAAATACAGTCTAGGGATCATTCCTTAACGGCACAGATCATTCCTCTTAAGGACTGTGCAGTATTCCACTGTGGTGTATATCCCATATTCTATATAACTAGTTCCCTATGGATGAGCATTTAGGTTGCTCACAGATTATTTCTTTTTTTTTTT